ATTCCTCAGCACCACATAAGCAAAAAGAAAAAAGCCAGAAGTGGTGCTGTGTCTCAAGTGGCAGAGCACTAGCCTTGAGCTGAAGAGCTGAGGGACAGAGCTCAGGCCCAGAGTTCAGGCCCCACGACTGGACCAAAAAAAAAAAATCTGAAAAAGGAAATCAAACCAGAACATAGAGAGTGGAAAAACCTCCCATGCTCCTGGACTGGAAGGATCAACATCGTGAAAATAAAAATAATTCCCAAGGCTATCTACAAATTCAATGTGATACCTATCAATATTCCAACCTCATTCTTCAAGGAAATAGAATAGGCAATCCAAAAGTTCATATGGAACAATAAAAGACCCGAATAGCAAAAACAATCCTTAACAGAAAGAACACTGCTAGAGGAATATCAACACCAAATTTCAAACTCTACTACAAAGCCATAGTAATCAAAACAGCTTGGTACTGGCACAAGAAGAGACCTCAAGACCAATGGAATAGAATTGAAAACCCAGAAATGAACCCACAGAGCTCTAGCCATCTAATCTTTGATAAGGGAGCTAAAAAAAACATAGAATGGAAGAAAGCTTCTACAATAAATGGTGCTGGCAAAATTGATTAATCACCTGTAGAAAACTAAAGCTAGATCCTTATATATCACCCTGCACCAGAATCAACTCCAAATGGATCAAAGACCTGAGAGTCAAAGAAGACACCCTGAAAACATTACAGGAAGGAATAGGAGAAACCCTAGGTCTCCTTGGCACAGGCCAAACTTTCTTAATACAGACCCAGAAATACAACAAATCAAAGAAAGGTTGGACAAATGGGATTGCATGAAATTGCAGAGCTTGTGCATGGCAAAGGACATAGCTAGCAAGATCAATAGAAAGACTACAACTTCACTAGCCATACAACAGATAAGGGCCTCATATCTAAAATGTACTTGGAAGTCAAAAAATTAAATCCCCCAACAACAAATCCTCAAAGAAACAACTGCCCCATTAATACGTGGTCTAAAGACTTAAAGAGAAACTTCTCTGAAGAGGAAATAAGAATGACCAATAGACACTGGAAGAAATGCTCAATCTCTCTAGCCATAAAGAAATGCAAATAAAAAAAGAGATGCAAATCAAAAGAACATTGAGATACCACCTCAACCCAGTTAGAATGTCTATAATCAAGAACTCTAATAACAACAGATGCTGGAGGGGATGTGGACAGAAGGGAACCCTACTGCATTGTTGGTGGGAATGTAAACTTGTTCAACCACTTTGGAAAGCAGTATGGAGGTTCCTCAAAAGACTTCACAGTAGATGAATTGATCAAAAAAATGTGAGATATATACATATATACATAATGGAATTATATGCCTCCATCAGAAAACTTGGCATTGCCCCATTTGTTAGGAAATGGGAAGACTTGGGAAAAGTTATAGTAAGTGAAGTAAACAAGGCCCAAAGAAACATAGGTCCCATGGTTTCCCTTATTTGCAATAACTAGTATATGTCTGGGACAAGTAGAAAATGTCAAAAGCTATTATATGACCAAATAAGATGAAGTTAAGCGAAATGAACCCCAAAATAGGGACACAAGTGTTTTTTTTCTTTCTTGATATTGTTTCTATGTATTTATAAAGTACCATGTGATATTTTTTGTAGTTGTGGAGGTAGGAGGGAAGGGATGGTAGGGGAAAAACAAAGGAGGAGGCAACAATGCTTGATAAGAAATGTACTCATTACTTTGCTCACGTAACTGAAACCCCTCTGTATAGTATTTTCACAATAAAAATTTATTTAAAAAATAATATTTTGTCATTCTTAGTAATTACTAAAGTAATGTGGCAAGTTACTTTTGGTTACAGTGTTAGCTTTGAAAAAAGTGTACTTAAGCCAGATACTGGTAGCTCATGCCTATAATCCTACCTACTGGGGAAACTGAGATCTGAGGTTCAGGTTTGAAGTCAGCCCAGGCAGGAAAGTCCTCCATGAGATCCATATCTC